GTGTATTCAGAAAAAGTGCTGGTTCCCATGTAATGTAAAATGGTCTTTCCTTTGCAAGTAAATCTGCTAGTACCATCTGGCATCAGTCCTTTCCCTTGAGTGACTCTAACGAGGGAAAAACAAGATAGAAACAGGCGTGTTAAAACCTAGACTGTAGTTAGTTGGCACAAAGTTGTCTTCAACTCATGGTGACTCTGTATTTTGGAGAATAAAAACATGGCCTGGTGGCGTGTCTCTTCACAGGTGCTGGTATGCTTAAGCCCACCACTTCCACTACTGTGCTTAAAATCCAGAGGAGAAAAAACTAGCTCTAAAACTACTGACTAAAGAGGTGTATAGTAAAGTAGACTGGGGTTGGGGGGAGGGAAGAAATGATACAACAGTGAATGAATATAGTTTTTTTAAAAAAATATGGGTGGGTGTAGGGAGGAAAATGTGTGGCAATGAATGAATGAAAATCCAACTTTTCTGTAAACGTCTGTTAAAATAACAATAAATTTTTTTTTAAAAAAAATCATGCAATAAATATCACGCTCTTGCCAAAACCCCCCAGACTAGTAAATATTTAAAAATGTGTGCTAATGCATTAATCAGTTAACAGCTTTCAGCAATGCCTTATATGAGATTTAAAATCTGATCTGTATCTTCCAGCACTCAGTATCATCAGGGATCAGATAAAACAGTTTTAAAATTCTTTAATAAAACTCTGTGAGCATTTATAACTTCATAGAGGATAAAATGAAAACTAGCATAATGCAAGTAGAGATTACAAATACATAGACAGCAGATTAAGACAAAAGCCAAACTGGCTAATTTAGAACTTCCTGAAGTTTTTTTTATTTTGTATAAGAAAAATCTATGAATAGTCTTTAAAGTTTCAAGTTATCTTTTTCATTCCCTGCCAGTGCAATTGGTTTCAGAAAGCAAAACAATCCCAAAAGGCCACCAATATGGTAAATGATAACTAAATCTAAAAAATTCTAAACAAATACTATAATGCTTTGCGTAGCAGTTTGGCTTTTAAAATTAGACACATTTGAATCTAAATCCTTTGTGATCCTTAACTTTGTGTTAATTAACTTTGTGACTTAGTTTCCAATATTGAAAATGAGAAACAATAGTATATTCCTTCTAGATCACTATAAAATATAAATGAGAGACAATGTAAAGTATTAGTATGTTTAGTAAATACCTGTTATTTTTTAATTGAGATTTTTATGAAAGTTTATAGAGACACTTTGGATTTCCATTCATTTATTATTGCACCTTTTCCTCCCTGCCCACCCCTTCCCTCCAATTCACTTTTCTCTTCAAAAAGAAAAATTAAAAAACAAAACCAAACAAAAAACCAAACAAAAACCAAAAAAAAAAAAAAACCCACACAAAAAACAAACAACTTTCATTGTTCCACAACACTCCCCCCGGCCCAGTCCACTTTACTATAATACCTAATCATATATTCCTTTTAAACAGTTCTCTCCCTCATCTGTTCAAATGCAGAGTACTTTATTTATTCCCTCTTTTCTTAGTTTCCCCCCAATCCCAATGTCAGTTCCATTTTACAATAGTGGCATTATGCATTATTTGTCTTTTGTGACTGGGATATTTCAATTAGGATAATGTCCTCCAGGGTCACCCATTTTGAATAATATTGCATGAGTTCTGTGTTTTTCAGTGCTGCATAGTATTCCATTGTGTGAATATACCATAGCTTCTCTATCCATTTGTTTGTTGATGGGCACTTGGGTTGTTCCCAACTCTTTGCTATTGTGAACAAAGTAGCAGTAAACATGGGTGTGAATATATCTGCTTGGGTGACAGTTATGGTTTCTTTAGGGTATACTCCAAGTAGTGGAATTACTGGGTCAAATGGTATCTCTATTTGCAACTTTCTGAGAAAGCGCCAGACTGCCTTCCATAGTGGTTGCACCATTTTACACTCCCACCAACAGTGAATAAAGGTTCCAGTTTCTCTGCAACCTCATAAGCATTTGTTGTTTCCTGTTCTGTTAAATTTTGCTATTCTTACTGGGGTGAGATGATGTTTCATAGTTGTTTTGATTTGTATCTCTCTTAGAGCTAGGGATTTTGAGCATTTCTTCAAGTGTCTGTTTGGCCATCTGAATGTCTTCTTTGGTGAAGTGTCTGTTCATATCTTCTGCCCATTTTGCAGTTGGGCCGTTTATCTTGTGGTGAAATATTTGTTGTTATTAATAAAAATAAACATTATTATGTTATAGACATGCTTAGGAAAATCCTTTGGACTGGATATAAACATGTGTAAGTATATTTAAGCAAACACACAACAGAAGAGATAATGGACTGCCTATAGATTCAAAAGTAAATAACAGAAAAGAAAGAAAAAGTAAATACAACTGCCTTAGGGAAGAGAGGAAAAACAAAATACCAGAGGGAAAGATAAGGACAATAAAGTTCCACCAAATGTAACTGTTTTCTTATATTTATGAGAATAATTTAAGTTTGTTTGGCCCGCTTCAGTATGAAAATCATTTCCGTTACAAACGAGTTTCTTAGTGGCGGAAAAATAAAATCAAACAATGTTTCATGCTTTTAAACAACTTCTCTATCACTACTATCTGAGGGACTATGTTTGACATTTTTTTCAGTTTGTTTTTGGTTTTGCCAAAACTAGCTATACTATGAAACAAATGAAATTTTGTTTCCCCCAAATAATCTTGTTAAAAAAAAAATTTGAGTCTTTTCAATGGCATTAAAAAACAAATGGATCTTCTAGGCATAGCCAGTGGGACAGGAAAAAGTGGTGCAATCATACCAGAGCTAGGCCCTCATGTCCTATGACTCAATAATCGAATGATGGCATAGAGCTATGAGAAAGCTGTGTGAGAAAGATATTTAGAAAACTTTTTCTCAACATTATTCATATCTCTGAGCCAGAAGAGCCTAAAGGCCCATCAGTAAGAAAGTCGATAAACTTTAGTTTTTAGAATAGACTATGACACAGCAACAAAAAGAATTAATGGTGTACACAGTAACTTAGACACAAACCACAGACATTACAAAGAATGAGAAATGAGACCAAAAAACAGTATGTATTGTGAGATTACATTTGTAAGAAACTGTATGGTGAAAGAAATAAAAATAGTAGTTACTTTTGAGGAAGAGAGTATCTACTTGGAAAAAAAAAATACGAGATTCTGTGGGATTTTGGAAGGAATATCTTAATCTAAATGATAGTTATAACCATCAGCGAAGTATAGATATAAAAATTCAATGAGGTGTATGCTAAATATTTGCCCACTTTAAGTATTATACGTAATACCACAATAAAAAAGAAACGGAGAAAGATCTTAAAATGCCTCAAAGTTGTTGTTGTTCAGCGTTGATATCTCTGACTTAAAGTGATGAAACATTTACTTTTTTTAAATAAAATTTTTATTTTATACTGGTTTACTTATAAAGTTCGTATACATTGTTTTTCACCCTGGATCTTTCACATTTCCTATAGACCAGAATCATTGATTTCACATGCAAGCAAGATTCTACTGAAGATTATCCAAAAACGACTGGAACAGCACATCAGCAGAGAACTGCTGGAAGTCCAGGCTGGGTTTAGAAGGGGTCGTGGTACTAGGGATATTATAGCTGATGTTAGATGGATCTTAGCTGAAAGCAGAGAATACCAGAGGAACGTATATCTGTGTTTCATTGACGATGCAAAGGCGTTTGACTGTGTGGATCATAACAAACTGTGGCTGACTCTGAGAAGAATGAGAATCGCAGAACACTTGATCGTTCTAATGTGAAACCTATAGTTGGACCAGGAGGCAGTCGTCAGAACAGAGCAAGGGAACAC